CAAGTAGGGAAAGGTTTGTTTTTGGTGTGACAGCCTCGAGCAGGCGCCTGGCTTTGTGAACATGCATAATGGTTCGGCCTTTCCTTTCCCCCTGCTTCCTCTTTATGGATCGTGTGTTGCTTTTGTCTCCTGTGTGAGAATGAGTCTTCCAGGTGTTAGCGAGAGAACGCTGGCCTTTGTGCTCCCCACAGGGCATCAGGGCAGCAGGCGTGTCCAGAGCCCTGCCCCTGCCTGAGCTCCCCCAGTTGTACACAACTAAGGGCCCTGTGGTAACTCCAGGTTCCCATAGGAACCTCTCATTTGAGGCCACCCTGGGTCATCCACAGCATTCCCCTCTGATGCCACCTGAACCCCTTCCTTCTCCACGAAAGGACACCCTTCCTCCGATTTGTAAACATAAGCACTGTGCCTGGGCCCCCGTGGCCGGCAGCTCTCAGAAGCCCACTATTCCTTTTATGACCATCACAGTAACTATTCAACAGACACTCACTGAAGGTTTTCAGCTTTTTCCCCCCCAGGGTTGAAATGTTTAGACAATTTTTCTTAGCACAACATAAGGGAAATGGGCACTGGGGGAAACTGTTCAGAGGAAAATTTGGCCCCAGGAAGAGTTTGGGTTGGGCCCTTTCCTGACACTGGTTTGGAGACAGCCTGAGAAAGGGGTGGAGGGTTGGTGGCAAAGAGGAAGCCTGGGTCACGGTCCCAGACTTTGGGAGAGAGCGCACCAGCTGCCAGGGGTCACGGCAAACGCACCCTTGATAAAAGGTGGTGTGAGCTGGGAGGCGCTGCTCACATGCAGACAATGGTGGGGCAGAGTGGAGGGGAGGGGAGAAGGCAAAACAGGGAACAAGTGAGCTGGGACTCAAGAGTTTGGGGAACTAGAGTGAGCAAGTCCTCTGAGGATCCCTCTCAGTCACCATGCCAGAGAGCTGGTCTCTGCCAGAGGTGAGCCCCAGGCAACACAAGAGCCATCTGTGTCCCTCTGGGGTGGTCACACAGTGGGCACTTAGCTGGTGCTGGTGGGTAGACTTAAATCATAGGCCATGGGACTATATGGAAGGGGCTGTGGAAATACTCAAGTGTATTCCACAGACCAAACCAGTTTGAAAATTATCCAGACCGCGTCACAAAACACTCAAGAGGAACACTAGTGAAGGAACCTCCAGACTCTTAAAACTGTGGGGACCTGCCCCGCACGCCGGGTGCATGGAGTTCAGGTTGGCAGGTGCGACCGTGGCACAGAGGACTGGGACCCACAGGCTGGGGGCCAAGGGGGGCCGTGAAAGGAGGCTTAACAGGCAGGTGAGGACTTTCTTCTTTTAAAACAAAGAAACCAACTCCAAGATTTAAGAAAATGGCATACAAAATGCAGAGAAATATTTAGGATCTGCAGACCGGTGTCCATTCACAGCCAAAGCAAGTATAAAAGCCACAGAAAGTTAACAAGAGCCACATCACCCTAAGAGCAAACTTGGCTGGCATTTAAACCAAGAATTGCAGTTTAGATTGGTGGAGGAAGCACTCTCACAATAAATCTGAGTATGTGCTTTATTGTTATGAAGTAATTAAGCTACTCAACAGGCTGTCTCCTTAAACTGAGAGATGCATTTCATCTCTGGAGAAACGTCAGCAGAAGACAGGATTTACTGTACTGTACTGTACTGTGGAAGTGAGGGGCAGGTGGCAGGGAGGGAGGTGACTGTGCACTGGGTTCGATGCACGTCTCCAGGGCAAACTGCCTGCTCGTCTGTGACGCTTCTCTGCCCTCACGTGACCCCAAAACAGCACCGCAGCCTTGGCTCCCATGTTCCCTATTAGCTATTCTTACCACTCAACACTGGTAACATGAAGCTCCCTCTCCAACAAGAAATACAACTTCTGTTTTACATTTATTTTGCCTAAGAATTTTCCCCTTTCCCATCAACTTGGTTCTGAATGACCCAGTAGTGAGGCAGGCAGACGGCAGAAACACAGAACCCCAAATACCACCTCCTTCACAGAAGAAGAGTCTGTCCCAGTTTCAGAATTCTGGGTTTTGCCAGGTAAATATCATGGAAGCACCAGAACCTTGTTCTAGGGGCCCCTAAGTCATTCTCCTGTGGTGATACCACCTAAAATTCATATTCATGTTGCTACTTCATCAAAGAAGATCTGCATTTTGTTTAGAAGACAATTATCTAGAAGCATGGATTATTTAGATTCTTTTCAACTTCTGTTTTTAACATGCGATTTGGCCAGAAAAAGAAGGGGCACCCAAGTAAATTTCTTTGTAATCTAAGATTTGATGAAAAGAATGTGGGTGAAAAACTGAAACCAAAAGGAACATGATTTAGGATCACCAAAACTCTCTCAAAATAATACACATACATGCAGGCAAATAAGTGTGCATACATTTGTATTCATGGATGATGGTGGAATAAACTGAGGATGACCCTCCTTCCACTCTAAAATTGAGAAATACACCTAAATTTTTGTTTTAATATAGAGCCAAGCTTAAAAGAAGAAATCCCAGGTGCCAAAAAGGAAAGAACTTTAAAGTTTAACACAAGCCTCAGGAGCTGGGAGTTGGGGACAGGAAACGTGGCTTTGAGTCCACGCAAGGGGAAGGACGGAGAGCAGAACAGAATTCTGAAGGGATCCCTCACCTCCCACTACAACACCGCCTACATCCTAGCAAAGGCCGACTTCTGCTGGGGCTCGGGGCGGCGCGTTTAAGATGCCTGCGAAATCCAGAGAACTCCCACGCACGGGAGTCACGGGGGATTTTCACTGTCACAAGGTGAGAAAACAACAAATGTCCAAACCACTGTGACCACTCTGGAGCTGGCACAGGAAACCCCCAATTGCTCCGTGGTAAAACCCTGGGACACAGACCACTCACAAAATAAAAAAACCCTTGCTGAAGGTACGTTCACAATCCTTAAGCCCAGGAGGATGCAAATCGCCATTTATTTTTCTGCAGCTATCCTCAGATCTCAAGAAATTAGCAGCATCCTCAGATCTCAAGAAAATAGACTACAAGTATGATTAAAAAATGACTTTTTAAAAGGAAGAGAACTAAAATGAAAAACAGAAAGTAAGCTGAACAGGCAGATTTTAAAAATTACCAAAGACAACTTCAAAAGTGCAAAGCACAGGCAATGACATGAGAAACTCAATGAGGGACTGAGCAGCTCAGACAGGGCTGAGGACAGAGCGAGGTGAATACAAGGGAATTACTGAGCACGTGGCCCGGAGAAGCCTAAGCCGTGAGAGAGGATAGCTTACATTTAAGTCTAAAAGAAATCCCAGGAGGGAAGAACAGTGAACCGCCGTAATCAGAACACCCAGAATTGTCCTAGGATGCTGAGACCTGAACAAGAGGAATAAAAAATCCATTTCTAAACAGTGTGAAACTAGAACGTGGAAGATTAAATAAGGGAGAAGCTTGCATGCTTGTTAAGAAATAGTTCAATAACCCAGAAAACGTACCTGTAACCTCCATGAGTGCAGAGATACACTGAATGTGCGAGCGGCAGCCTGCACTCTGAACCCCCCCACGCCTTTGTGCGCTGTGGAACAGACCTAAATGGCGTTTGCTGTCGGAAAACCTCACTCAGTCTCAAGTTTGTCAGTCTAAACAGACTTGTATGTTCAGACTACTGCCGTATGTTCAGGGACACCAAACTACATGCTAACTGAATCTTGGATTTTTAACTCTAAATTTCATTGAAGTGTACACTACCCTTCTGTACTGTCAATTTTTCTTAATGCCTAACTGAAATGCTGATTTCTGTAACCTACTTCATCCAGCAATAAAGTACCTAGAGATGGATTTTGATGACAAGAACCCCATCTTGTGGCAGAATTTTTCACAACCCAGTTTGGCCGTTCTATCGCATTGCTATCCACAGTCCAAAGATAAATCTGTGTTGAGAAGTCGTCACTTTATCTGCTTCACCAGACAGGAGTTCGCGCCCAGCATTCGTCTTGTGTCTGTGACAACTCTGGAGCTGGCAGGCCATCTGCAGAGCCCAGTAATTGGGGGGCTGTGTGAGTTGCTTCCAAGCGAACGCCGGTAGTCTTCGCACAGCTCACAGCAGGAGTATTTTAAGAGAAGCAAACACTGACTGTGGTTCAGCTTCTGAAATGTTACCAAATGTTCATTCTTTGAGTGACTCGGAGAATGCACTTTCTAGGAGATTAACCCACTCGGCTGAAGCAAGCTTGACACAGAAACTCCTAAAGCCCCCGACAAAAGGCACCCTCACCACCACGCACAACAAAGCTCACCTGCACAGCCCCCACGTACTGCAGTGCCTGCCGGCCCCGCCTCCTCTAAAGGGTGGCTTTTACATGTATCATTTCCATATTATAAAAGACATTAAACTAGATTCTAGAAATATTTTCTTCATTTTTTTTCTTCAAAAAAAAAAGTCTTCTCCCTTGCCTTCTCCCACTGCCCCTATGTTCCTAATTTCGCTTTCCTACTTAAAGGTACTTTCAAAGGTCTGATATATGATTAATAAGCTAAAAAATGTAAAAGCACTGAGCACGGTGTGTTGCTCCAAAAAAATCAGCAATTATTGTTGCTTTTTATTACTGTCACTACCATTATTATTAATAACAAAGTACTTTTCTGAAAAGGGGGCCAGACCCCAAAGTCATTTGTTTATCTTCCTCATTGCCAAAGTCTTAAAGAAAAGTCTAGTATGAACAAATGATTTTTAACAAAAGCAAAACTGAAATATTTTTCTCCCCTCCAAATGTTTTGAAAGTGAAAAGAGAGTAATATTAAAAAAGCGTTTTATTTTTTAATGTCACATAAGAAATTTAAGCAAATTACATTATCTTAAAAAAACAAAATTAACGCATTTTAAGAGTAACCCTCCCCACCCCGCTTCCCCGCATGAGCTAAGAATCTAGAAGTAACCACAAACAGTTCTGTGGAATCCTTCATCCAGAGCGCTGACATGGTGATTAGGTAATATTGCCCCCTTACAAAACTTCTCTATTAAAAAAAAATTTGTAGACTTGTTTATTACAAAAACTTCAGTACAAAAGTTCTGAAAAATGCTTTCCCCTCCTCCCTCACAGCACCGTTGTACATAGCAGAGAAAAATCAAGAGCAGACTGCTGTCTAGATGGAGCAATCTTCAAATTATATCCAGACACACAGTGGTTTGTTTACCCTCCCTCCCCTCCCCTTCTCATAAGCACTTAAAAAACACACACATACAAAAAAATGTCAAAAAATTTGAGGGACCCTTTCCAAACAGTACACCATTAATTCAGTGTCAATTATTTCACATCTTGGAACAAAGTGTATGGGTATGAGTTCATTTTTTAAAACTTTCAGTGTCAAAAAAGGAAATTAAGGCCATCAGATTCGCAGCTTAAAAATTCACATAAAGAAGACATAAAAATACTCTGTGCTTCGGAGAAGGCTCTGCACTGCGTGTAGGGAAGGATCACCACCCTTCCTTACTCTGAGGAAGACGGTTGACTTGAGAAGTTCACATAACTGCACAGCTTTTATTGGATGCTCTTGGGGCTTCCTGATGAGGAAAACAGAAAAATCTGTTTAGAAGATGGTCACAGTATTTTCTATAGGACAAAAATACTCCAAATCCATATAACCTAACTTTAAATGACCTTTTCGCTTCTCACTTTCCCCTTTTAACCCTCTCTTGCAGACTTCTCCCCTGGAATGTCTGTTTACGTGTCACTTTGAAGCTGAGTAATTCTAATGCACAGCTGAAGGTGAAAACTGCTGTTCAATGACCTGCACACTTAGGAACGAGACCAGCGACTCTGTGCTGAGCAACCACACCAGGCAACATGCCGGCTGATTCCTCTGCTGCACTTCCTGAAGCATCGGCACCAGGTTCACCAACTGTGGTCCGGACGCCTCCTGTTATCCATTTTTTCATTACTCACTAATTCCTTAAAACTTCACAGTATGACTTGCGACTCATCACTGGACTAGACTGAAACTGGCTTCTTGAAGGTCACCGAAAACACTTATCAACTTGAAAGACCTCTAATGTGAAGTCAAACAGCTGATACACCCTCTCTCTTTCCTCTTGAACTTGGTATCATTGTTTTCTCATCACAAAAGCTAAAAACCTCACCCGCCTTAATGTGTTTCCTTTCTCCCATCCTCAAGCTCACCAGCACTCTGCCCTGAGGAATCCCCATTTCTGCAGTCCTTCAGTGTCTGCAAACTCCCTTCTGGAGTCCATCCCTCTGACACTGTCTGGGTTTCTTCTCTGCTCCCACGTGTGCAGAAGCTACCTGCCTCGGCATTCGGATTACAGCCATTTAGCACGAGCCTTCCTACTTTATCTCTCACTTGCACCTTACAATACAACTGGATGGATGGACAGACAGACTTGGTGCTTAAGTCCTGACATATCCCTGTGATGAATTAAAGACCATCACAAATTCTTCACCACTCCTCACCTCCAAGAAGCAGAGACTATTTACTCTCCCCTGGAACCAGAGCTGGCCTTCTGACTGTGACTTAGAGAATACGGTCCTAGCTTTTAAGAGATCTGGGGCTCTCCGTTTTCACCCTCGTGGAAGCCACTGCCGTGTGTAAGAAGTTTGGCTTACACACTACCAAATGAGAGGCCACACGGAGAGACGCATGGACATCCCAGCCCCGGCCAAGCTCCCAGCTGAGTACAGCTGCACAGATGACTTCACTCCCCATCACATGGGCCAGAAGAACCACCAGCCGAGCCCAGTCACACCACAGAATCATGGGAAGTAAGAAACCAATGTTGTAAGCCACTAGGTCTTGGGCTGGTCTGTCACTGTAACAACAGACATTCCAAACACCACCTGCCACCTAGTACCCAAGTGACTACCCATCCTTCCTAACACTGGGCAAGCAGATTTCCCAGAAATCTTCTCAACTATTCCAGGGCCTGGACAACCAACCCCGCATCTGTCTAACTGGCTGCATCCTGGTGCTCTGAGGAGCTCGCCAGAACCTTGAGGTATCTCTTACGCTGTTGGTTTCCTTCCAATCATTGTAACGCTTCCTGTGAAGGCCAGGATCTTGTCCTTATTTCTTGTTATTAAAGACAAGTCTGAAGTATTTGTTTTTAAGTATTCTTCCAAAATGTACGAGGGAAATATACAAAATATACAAGCCAGAACGTAATTCTACGTCATATATAACCCATCTCCAGCGTTTCTCAGCCCCTGGGGGCAGAACACAAAAGAGAACGTTCATTTGGAGTAGGACTGGGGCTGAGGAAGCAAAACGAACAGATTTTTAAATCTGAAAACATGGAGACAGCCTTTAGGATAAGGACAGGAATATTTTATTATTGATCAGACTCAAACATAGCTTGGTAATATAAACTGAAGACTCATTACTTAATAATTCCAATTTAATTAATTAAAATCAAATTTGGAGTTTTTTTATTTCAAGGGTTCTCAAAAGCCCAAGCATCAGCTAAAATCTATCTTGCAATTAATGATTAGGAACTTAACATAGCAAGGATTTTGTTTCACACTGAAGTTGAATATTACACTTTAGCTTTTTTTAAGCTTATAGCAGATGCTTGCTCTAATTTAGTGATCTAAATCTCTCAACCACAGAATCCTGCAGTACATCATTTGAGCATGCACTCCAAATCACATACTTATTTGTAATGACAGACACGTCCTACCATAACATACTACACTGTAAAACAAAAGACAAAACTGACATTTGATGTGATGAGAAAAAACATTTTCTTAAAGAAGTGTTAACATTTCTTCCCATACCCGAATGTTCTATCTTGAATATTCCCCAAGGAAAAGCAAACCCCACTCGGTAGTTCACTGACTGGGCTTATCAAATAGGGAAAAAAACTTCACTGTCAGTTTTGATTTTCATGTAATTCTGTCAACAGTATTTAAAGATGTATTAAAGCAATACCTGCTGGTGGAAAAGTTCTTCCTCGGCAGCCACTTCGGCTGCTGCTTCTTCCTCTTCCTCTTCAGGTGTGGTTGTTTTAAAGACTGTACTTCTTTGAGCAACCTCCTAAAAATGAGTACAGGCATACTTCACTTGATTGTGCTCCACTGCGCTTTACACACATCAGTGTTATACAAATTGAAGGTTTGTGGCAATCCTGCATCCAGTGGGCCTATCAGCACCATTTGCTCACTTTGTATCTGTGTCACATTTTGGTAATTCTCACAGTATTTCCAACTTCTTCATTATTATTATATTTGTCTGAATGACAGCACATCTGTCTACAGCATGGTTTACTGAATATTTTAAACCCACTGATAAAACCTATTTCTCAGAACAAAGATTCCTTTCAAAATATGACTGCTCACTGACAGTGCGGCTGGTCACCCAAGTGTGCTGCTGAGAGAGGTACGAGGATGTGCTCATGCCTGTTAACACAACATCCACACGTCCACGCTGCAGCCCATGGGTCAGGGAGTCATTCTGACTTTCAAGTCTTACTATTTAAGAAACCCATTAAGTTGCCAGAGTGAGTGATTCCTCTAATGGATCTGAGCAAAGTAAACTGAGAACCTTCTGAAAAGACTTCACCATTCTAGAATCATTAAGAACATCTGTATGGTTCATGGGAAGAGGTCAGAATATCAACATTCACAGGAGTTTGGAAGAAGGGGATTCCAGCCCTCAGGGATGACTCTGAGGGGTTCGAGGCCTCAGTAGAGGAAGTCACTGCAGATGTGGCAGAAACAGCAAGAGAACTAGAATTAGAAGTGGAGCCTGAAGATGTGACTGGATTGCTATAATCTTGTGAGATAACCTGAATGGATGAGGAATTGCTTCCCAAGGATGAGCAGAGAATGTGGTTTCTTGAGATGGAATCTACTCCTCGTGAAGATACCATGAAGACTGTTGAAATGACAAGCATTTAAAATACGACACAAACTAGGCTGACGGAGCAGCATCAGTCTTTGAGAGGACTGATTGCAATTTGGAACTAAGTTCTATTGTGGATGAAATGCTACCCAACACCACCACATGCTGCGAAGAAATCATTCATGAGAGGAAGAGTCCATCAATGCAGTAAACTCACTGCTGTCTTACTTGAGGAAATTGCCGCAGCCACTTGAGCCTTCAGTGACCACCGGCAGCCGGCAGCATCACAGTGAGACCCTCCACCAGCAAGATCATCACTTGCTGAAAGCTCAGATGATGGTGAGCATTTTTTAGCAATGAAGTATTTTTTAATTAAGATATATACATTGTTTTTTCAGACCTAATGCTACTGCACACCTAACAAACTACACTACAGTGGAAACACAACTTTCACATGCACTGGGAAACCAAAAAAATTCACTTGACTTGCTTCATGGAGCTTCTGCTTTACTGCACTGGCCTGGAATGTAGTGCACAGTATCTCTGAGGTGTGCCTATAGTTTGATTGATTTCAAGTTAAAACCATACTTAAAGCCACAAAGGAGGTAGGGAGAGGGAACATTTTTTTTTGCTTAAATTTAAGATGTAGCATTCCTACATCAAGGACTTTTTCAAAGTGGTTCATCAGCAGCTTTAGCTACCAAACAGATATTGTTGCTTAATTAGTAGCTGTTCTTGATCTTAATATCCCCTTGCAGGGCAGCTACTGGCATCCAATTTGAAACACCTGCTAAGAAGTCCACTGCATTTTATCCCTGTCTGTTACTGAGGACTCTGTACATGACTTGGCACACTAAATTCTCTGTAACGCTCAATGAATTCAGCTAAAAGATCTCAGCTCCTAGCAAAGCAAACTTGCTAAGTAAATGTTGATAAAATGAAGCTGGAGGCCAACTGCTGTGACCTCAGGGCCCACGGCTGCAAGAGGACCCTATGGGGAGTGAGGTGAAAAGGACGGGCTGCTTTCATTCCTTCAGCAACCGGTTCCTCTTGAATGAAATGCAATCCAGACCGATGAGCATTATTTGCAAATAACACACTAGTGGAGCTCCAACATACCCCACACATAAAACAGATCTCCTATCATTCACGGAGGTACAACAGAAAGTAAACATATCCATTTTCTCTGAAATGCTCAAATAGAACTTTCCTGTAGAGAATCCTGACATGCACAAACAGCAGTATTTTTGTTGAAGGTAAACTGATGATCTGGCAGCAAGTAAATGTGTGTGTCCTACAGGGAACTGCAGGGCACCTAATTTTACTCGGTACCATGCCCTAAGGTCATTCAAGAAAGATACCTCCAGAGAGAAAGACAATAAAATCACATCAGTAAAATTTTATCTGAAATTTAACACAGACCAGCTAGTCTAAAATGGCCAAGAGAACAAAACACATTGTCATAGAAATGAAAATTCAATTCTAAATATGTCCAAGGATTTATTTTATAAATGAGGTAATACACAGTACAGAAGTATCGGGGGGAATTTGATTATTGCTGCATGCTTGCCAAAGATGGACCATTTCTGAGTCTCAGTTAGACAAGAAGTTCAGTTCTGTGTAATCAGTCTGTTTACACACACAAATAGCCATTTTACAAATATAAGGCTACTTGAACCAAATTAGTCCTAATAAAAAAAGCATAGGAATCCTTTGATCAACTACAGAAATTTGAACTAAGATACTGATTGGGGGATGACTGTAAACAAAACAAAATTCTCAAAAAGCTTTAAGAATACCCAGCTTTCACCAACTCATCTTAAAATAAGGAAAGAAAAGTCAAAGAGATTTTGTACAGAATTCTCACATTCCAGCTTCTAGCAGTTGGCGACAGTATACGTCCTATGGAAACACTGTTCTTAAAGCTTGTGATGTAACCTAAGACTATTAGCCTCAAATGAGCTTAGAAAGCAGCAACTTGCCCAACTCCATTAATTATGAATACTTCAACATACCTTTTAATGTAAGCCTGCTCTTAAGTACTTTTCATTTGACAACATTTTAAAAACCAATTAATCTAATGTAGAAAGACTATGTAAAAATGAATGAACTAAGTAACAACTAAAAATTTAGACAGAAAAGTAATAAATCTAGAACCAAAATTTTTGGTCCAGGAAATCATTAGTTAGTAGGCTAATAAATGAATCTCTCTGCAAAAAAAATTCTTCTCTTCTGCAACATCTTACTATGCTGATGGACAGTGACTGTAATGGGGTTTGTGGGGGGACTTGGTGAAAGGGGAAGCCTAGTAAACATAATGTTCTTCATGTAATTGTAGATTAATGATACCAAAATTAAAAAAAAAATTGTTCTCAACAAGAGACCCTTGATATTCAGCAATTTGCATGGTGGAGGGAAACTGAGCTCCAGCTGGCTTTGCTGGCACAGCACTAATACCACCACCTGAGGACGTATCCCATGCTGTGGTTACCTGCTCTGCTCACGTGCCACTGTACCTTCGCTGTGGGCTTTACACCTGCTTCATTCCAAACACCCTGCCCTAAGATCGTTTCTAATTTGGAATACATTTCCACCCAGAAAAAAGTGGCTAAGATGGTACCTAGATCCCATGGACCACAGATGTTTCCTCCGCCATGGGCCCTTACAACAGTGCTCTTTAAACTGCGCCAGTCACCACTCCTAACAATGTTCTGAGAAGGACATGTATTCAGCCCATTTCAGACGTCAGGGGAAACCAGCAGCTTAGGGGCGGCAGCGATGCCCGTGCTCAGGCAGCAGCCCTACCAGGAGCTGGGAAGGATTCCAAAGTGCTGAAGGGAGACGCAAGCAAGGGCTTCTATAGAGAGAACAGGAGGAAGATGCTTCAAGTCTGTGAATTACTGAAGGCATCTGTGAACTCCCCTCCTACCCTGAGAACCCAGGTCTATGAATTCCCCAGAGGCACCCCAAAATCTCACACAACTGTACTGAGGTCTACAGAGAAAACCAGACGCCATTTCAGTTTCAGTCTGACATCAAGGGCAGTCTTCATTCAGGAGACGGTGACTACCTTATGAAGAGCTCCCAACACCAAGAGGTGTTTATAGTGAGGAATGAATGGGAAGGTGGCTGGGCACAGGACTTATGCTAATATCTAAGACCCCCATCACGAATGCTGTTAGTTACTTTACTTCTCCAAATCTCAGTGAAGATCCATGCTTGATTTTTTAAAGTTTTATCCAGTAAATTCTTACTGAATGTGTATTATGTGCCAGAAACAATCAGAATAGGTCCTTGCCCTCAATATGCTTCCTACTCCAATGAGAGAGGCCAGCCCAACAAGCCCCCCCATAGGGGAAGAGGAGGCCTGAGAGTGACACTGCGGGAGGCAAGGAGGGCCCCAAAAGGAAGACTGCAGCTCCACTCCACACCCCTTCCTCCACAGGCACTTCCCCTCTTGGAGACGGAGACAGAGAGAGAGAGCGTGTGTGTGTGTGTGAGACGGGTGTCAGGCCCCTCTGGAAGGTCCTTTGACAAGAATTCTAGGACTGACATGCTGACGACATACCCACCAAGCAGGTGCACCATCCACAATCTTCGACCTCAAGACTTTCACAACCACCCTGAGACCTAACAGCAAGGTTAGTAACATCGGCAGTTCCTAGAGGCCAGATACTGTTCCAAGCATTTCCCAAAGATTGTTTCATTTATATTTTCTCATTACATTAACATTATTACATTTATATGAATTGTCTTGTTATCATTAATTTTAAAATGAAAACTAGGAGAAGTGAAGGAACTTGCTTGCAGTCACAGAGCTTGTGTGCAGTGGGGAAAAGTGGACGGAGAGACTGGAGCCTGGGCTGCACACCAGACTCCACGACACACTCGCACTTCATCCCTAACATCTGAAGTCAGTGCCACTCTGATTACTTGCAGCCTCAGTCTGATTTATGCAGTTACTTCAGATTCCAATTTGATTTTGAAAAGCAATCACACTTGCACAGGGCTTCTCAATGGAAAGGGGCACTGCGGCGGTACTGACGGATGGCCCTACCTCTCCCTGGGAGTTCTTCAGTATGACCTTCACGTCTTTGCCAGTGCCCCAAGAGTTCTGGTTCTTCCAGATGAGGTCAGTGGGAGGACTGGCTGTGACTCCAGCATTTACAGCCCAGATCTGGAAAACAGAAAGGACATCGGGGTACTCAGAACCCAATGACAGCAACACGACAGTGACCCTCCAGAAGGGCAAGGGGACCGACTCTCAAGGTCTCAGAACTGTGAGCTGGCGGCATATGCGCTACACTAATAGCCAAGTGTCCACAAGAATCCAGAGAGCTTATCTAGGCCTCAGCTTCCCCACCTCATCAGGAAAATGCTGACACACAGGGCTCTTAAATGAAGTCGCCTGTGTTTGCATCCTAGCTCCTCTACATGTCAGCTGACCTTGAGCAAGTTACCTTGCGTCCATCATCCATAAGATGGGACAGAAAGGCTACCTGTAATTCATGGGCTTGCCATGAAGAGCGTGGCCACCCATAGAGGGGGGATGGCTCACTCGGTGACCGCTGGCCCTCACCGCCAGCACTCAGTCATTCTGTGGGTTTCACGGGCCATCCTTCCAGGCCAGTGCCTGCTGACCCGTCCGAGAGTAACCTCCAACTGCCCGCAGCTGAGGGCATGGCCAACTTCTCTCAGAACCACTGCAGCAAATAGCCCGTCTAGGACAACTCTTGTGGAAACTGGTTTGTCTCCGACCGGACAGTGTCACAATGTCCCAGGGTGTCTGAGACTAAACCCCAAAGGAATACAATTCACCCATTATTCAATGGAAAATATGACTGCTATTGAAATGTGCAAAACAAGGAAGTCATTATATTTCCCTTCTCAAAAGCATGGAAATTCTGCCACGTTTTATGTACTTATTGGCTACATAATTGAGTATTGCTAGAGTGGAGAGAACCTGAGAGTCAGGAAATCTGTTTGCATCTTGCATGAATTGCTGCCTCTGTGAACCTCAGCGTCCTCATCTGGTGGGAATCTACCACCAGGCCTCGTCTTTCTGAGGCCATGTGAAAACAGAGAAGTTGTGTACTCCATGAACTGTTTCACAGTACAAAGGGCAGTATGACGGCAAAAGGAAAGCTGGAGGCAGTACAGGCCGGTATTTTCTTAAACAGGGAGAAAAATCTATGAACTACTGATCAAGAGTGAGCCTTCCCTCTTCAGATGCTCACTTCATGCGTACAGATTTTCCATCAGCATTAGAAATGGAAAGGGGCAAGAAGTATCTACTGGGATAAAACAAAAAAGGAACTGGATCTGGGCTGACTTTCAGGTTACATGGAATTATCAGTATTTTCCTGATTTCAAGCAATACTTTTCACTAGTCCACATGGAATCATATATTTGGTTTAGTCTTAATAATAATCACAAAATGTCAGTAACCTTACTGGGTAATTTAGTCTAAAACTAGTACGGCCTATAGCTGTGTTGTCCAACATGGTACCCACACATGGCTTGTGAGCGCTTGAAATGTAGTTGAACTGAGATGTGCTGTAGGAGGATATGTTAAGTTTGAAGACTTAACTCAAAAAATTAAGACGACAAAACATGTAAAAATGTATCTGTTGATCATATTGAAAAAAATAGTATTTTTTTGACATACTAGGTCAAACAAAATATAGTACCAAAGTTAATTTCCCATATTTCTTACTTTTTTTAATGTAGCTATAAGAAAGTGTAAAATTACATACAGTTCTTGCATCTGTTCTAGGGTTTTAAATTGATCTTTGCTGTTGCTTTGTACAATTTTACATAAAGATCACTGATCTACCAGTTCCAAGGAATTTACCACATGTGATGCAAGCTACTCAAGAAGAAAATGCATAATGTGATTTTATATGCCGACTGAGCTCTCCACTAGACCTACTGAATATACATCTATTTAGTCCCTGAGGAATTCTATCTAGTAGAAAAGGCAGATGATTGGCCTAACGGTTTCACACTGCTTTAGAGAGTATTCTCAAACCTGAATCTTACGAATTAAAATGTTGGATTCTTCCCACTATATTATGCAGCTTCCCTACAACACATTAAATAGGACTGAGCAATTTTCTCACTATAATAATTACTAAAGAGAAGAAAGGATAGTGTGGTTAGAATATTTGTTCCCATTTTTAGCCACTATTACAAAATTAGAATCTGATAGTTACATAATGTGTTTAGTTCTGTGAATATACTTTTTTAAAGAGAACTGCTAACCTATTTGAGCCTCTAATGTTAAACACTAAGGTTCTATCAATCAAAACTTAAAACATGTTTTAAATATTTTTTTAAAAGATCAGTAAAAGGAGACAGTCATTTCTACATTCTTTAGAATCTTCTACTTTAAAATCTACATCAAAGTTATCATATTTCAGTGTTTGCTAAACTTAAAGCAGAAGATCTTTTGTTTGGTCAATGAAGCATACATACTTCACTTAAAAGTTGCTAATAATATTTAAACTATTAACTATTAAAGACCTAGTATACTTCAGAACATAACAATAGAGAACCATTTAGAACTCAAAATGGAGTCAGAATGGCAGTAAGCCTACCTCTCTCAAAACTAGAACCTTAGACACTATATAAAAACCATGTTACCCTTACTAAAATATTAAGTTTAAAGGATAACTCTTTAGAACAATACCTATCACCTAATGAGACTTTTGTTCAAAACAGAGGTTCCTATCCCAACACCAGAAATGGAGACTGATTAAGGGTGAGGTGGGGCCTAGACCCCAAGCCACCACCCAGTGATGCTGTTGCTCACCCCGAGCTGAAGACTGGGTTTAAGACATACCCTCGAGTATTATGTTTAGTACTCATGGTGTGGGGATCACGGGGGAGAACATGGGTGGGGACTTGATAATATGGGTGAATGTAGTAACCACATTGTTTTTTCATGTGAAATCTTCATAAGAGTGTGTATCAATCATATCATAATATATTATATATAAATAAATAAATAATGTTTAAAAAGACATACCCTAGAATTAACATCACTTCCCTCACAGTTCTTTATGCCAAGCAGTCATCTCCTGAATTACACTGGGCTACCACTATCAGGCAAAAGACAGCTGTTTTATATCTACTAGAATAGACAAAAAGAATTCAAAGGTCAAACCTTTCACTTTTAATAGTCAATTACCAGTCTCCATAAGATAGAATTTTTTAAAATCATTAGTAGCACCTGCAATTCCTTAATAATGTCAAAGATGTTGTATTTTTTGGTCAAAGATGTTTCAATGCCCATTTATAAAATGCTTCTTTTTAAGCCAAAAATTTTATTGAATTATTTTACCTGTGAATTAAGACAATGAACTTAAATTTAATGACCAATTCACTTACTGTAACTGTCTGCCCCGCCTTCAGCACGTATCTTGAGGTATATTTATAACTGACTGCTTTGTCTCCAATTTTTCTGACCATCTCCCAGCCTCCCATTGGCTGATCCTATTCACACAACAAAATAAAACAAGGTCACTTC